CGTCTCCTGGCTCAGCTGCGGGAAGACCTGGCGGAAGACGTGGCGGCACTTGGGGCAGGTGATGTGGCTGCGGGCCCACTCCTGGATGCAGGACAGCAAGGAGAGGCAGGGCCTGCACACGCTCCCGCAGGCCTGGGGCGCCTGCCTGGTGCTGGCAGCACAGCACGAGGGGCCCTGTTCTGCCAAGTGCTTCTCCCCCGATGGCATCTTGCACTGCAAACGAGAGAGAGACAAAGCTCGTGACCTTCAGAGAACTGCTGAAGAGGCGCCTGCTCTGCCCGGGGGCTGTGCCGGTGCTGCCACCAATGCCAGGGACTGTCCTGGGGCAGTCGAGTGACACCGGGGGCATCTCTGTGTGCTCCTGCTCTGCGGGCATGGCAGTGACCTCTCCGTCATGAGCAGGCAGGAGCTGGGAAGGCAGGAAAGCGGTTCCTGTCCTTGCCACGATGGTGGCACAAGGGTAGGGCTATGCCAGGCCAGGACCGGTGTCCCCATCCGGCAGATCCCCCTCTGGGATTGGGGTCCAATCCGGTCCCCCCACCTGCTGTGATGCTGCTCTAGCAGGGTCACAGTGACTCCCTGGTGACATCGCAGGGCTCTTGCAGACAAAAGTGGGAAAAAAAGCCCCATTTGGCAAGTCTGCTGTGCCTAGTGCTGGGCTGCTCAGTATGGGACAGATGTGGACATACTGGCGACTCCAGCACAGGGCCACAGGGATGCCGAAGGGACAGGAGCTTCTCTTCTAAGAGGAAGGGCATAGAGAGAGCTGATGCCCAGGGGGGCTTACGTGCCTTGGCCGCACGCAGGACAAAATCTCCAGGGAGTTTTTCTCAAGTCTCTCATTTGCCAGGCAAATCCAGAAGTGAATCGAATCAAATGGAATGGTGCCATTGGAAAGGGCCCACAATGCCCATCTAGTGCCACGGCCTGTGCCCGTCAGGGCTGACTAAAAGTCCAAGCTACTCACCTTGCCCCGACGGCTCCTCTACTTTCTCTGGCTTCTCGAGTGCCCGATCACAGCGCTGCCCTCCTCGGGGCAGGGCAGTGCCTGAGCTCTGCGACACGTGCAGGCAGGAGCTGGGAAGGCAGGAAAGCGGTTCCTGGCCTGGCCGCGATGGCAGCCCCAGCCGGTGCACAGCAGCCTGCCTGAAGCTGTGGAGCTCCTGCCCTGGGTGGCTGGCTTTTATACTGGGGACCAGCGACGAGGGGGCGTGATGCGGGGCCGTGGGGCTGTGACCTCACAGAGGTGAGCCCCACAGCGGGGCTGTGACCTCACAGAGGTGTCCCTGCCGCGGGGCTGTGACCTTACAGAGGTGTCAGTGTGACGCACATGCCACCACCCCGCGTGTCTCTTTGTGGGTTCCCGACTGCGCCGTGAGCGACAGCGGCCATCTCCTCAGACCGGCTCAGCACCCTCCAGCGCCGAGAGGAACGGGGCTGCTCAGGGCTGGGGGGGCCTCTCGGGGCCGGCGGTGGCAGGGCCCCCCCAGGCAGGTCCCTGTGCTCTGCGGTTCTGGAGATGGTGGCAGCGAGTGGCAGCACCGGAGCCACGTCAGGTCGCTGCAGGGAAGCCCCGGGCCCCCGGGGGGACATGGGGACCTCCCGACAATAGAAATAAAAGACTAAAAAATCCGGCAAGCAGTGTGCCAGGTTCCCATCGTGCTTTGTCAGAAATGCTTGGGCTCAGCTGGGATGTGGGAGCCTGAATTTGGGCCCCAGGGCCTGTGCTCTGACGGTCCCCATCTGTGCTGGGGTGCATTTGATTTGGATCCAAAGACCCCAAAACGTGGCGTGAGGAGCTCCCTGAGAGGAGCAGGGAGCTGCACGTTGTGCTGCTCCTTGGTTATTGCGGGCGGGAGCTCCACGGCATGGGATTCACAGGCCGAAAAGAGGGGGGAAAGGAGCAGTGCTGATCCTCAGGAGGCGTCTTCTGGCAGAAAGCACGGAAAGACACCTGATATTAAGCAAACAAACAAACAAGTCTCCCTGACTCTTCGTTTTGATGAACAAACGGCAAACCTGGCGGAGCCAGCAGGGTCCCCCCAGCCCTTTGGTCTCACCCCACCTCTGTGTGGGCGCTGTCTGCAGGCAGGATGCAGAGGGGCGGGCGGGCGAGCGCAGGGGGCATCTTATTTCCCCCAGTTACCCTTGGGGGGCACATTCCGTCCCCGCATTTCACACCTCATCTGCAAGGGGCACTGGGAGCTGGAAAAAGAGGGTTTGGGAACTGGGAGCTGCTGGTTTTAGTGGAGCTGGTCCCACCCTGTGTCCACCCCAACCCCTGCCCTCCCCTGCGTTGGATAATGCTGGGGCTTGTGCCAGAGGGTGTGCAAAGGCTGGGGCTTGTGTAAAGGCTTGGGCGAGCTTTGGGGCTCGGGAAAGGATCCTGCAGCGGTTGGGACTTGTAGAAACGCGTGTGCAAATGCCTGTGCAAAGTCTGGAGCCTGTGCGATGCTCAGGATTGTACAAACACACGTGCCACATCTGGGGCTGGTGCAAATGTTGGTGCAACACCTGGGACTTGTGCAAAGCCCCGGTGCATGTCCAAGAGCCCTAGGACACGGGAGAGGGGGATACACCACGGAGCACCGGGGGGCACTGGGATGAACTGCTGGGCACTGGGCAGCTCTGGGGGGCACTGGGATGAACTGGGATGGACCAGGGGGCACTGGGAGTTTATGGGGTTATTAGCAATATTAAAAATATTCTCCTGTAATTCCTGGCAGTGTCACATCATGCTGGTATATGAATCCTCAGAGATCAACATCAGAGGAAGTCCTAAACCTAAACCAACTAAACCAACAGCCCCAACACGCCTCCTGAAACCAAAGTCCTGCCGTCCAGCACGTCCAAGCTCCTCGCATCACTGTTGTGAAAGGGATGAACCAAACTGGAAACAAAATTCTGGAAACAGGAAAATGTCCCCTACCTTTCTTTCGACTGTCTGTGACCATATTGCGGCTGTTAGAAGCCAGCCCTGCGGTGAGCAGGAGGCTGGGATCCCTTTCAAATTCCATCAGTCTGTGCCGCCGAGATGGGATGTGTCCTGCAGGGCAGGCGGGCTGCAAGCGTAGACAAAGGAAGAAAACCACCCAATCGCAAAGGTACCAAAAGCATTCTGACAAGGGAAGCAAAGCTGAAATGCCACCCTCGGCACGCAGAGCTGCGAGTCCCTCGCTCCTGGCAGCAGCTGAGCGCTTTCTTCCTGTGGGACATTAGATCCTAAACCAAGTGCCACACAGCATTTGGCTGTGCCAACAATGAGCGTGTGGGATTCTTCCTGGGAACAGCAGACACTTCCCCACAGCCCCCAGAGTGCAACTCCACCACCAGGCTCTGCCCGGGATACTCTGTGCGTGGCTGAGGGCAGCAGAACAGAAAAGCCAAGGGCTCAGCTCAGCGAAGGAGTCCCTGGCTCCAGCGCCAGCG